TTATCGCCAAGTGAGAGGTCTCTAAATTACTAAAGCATACACAAAAGGAACACTTTTTGTTTCCGTAAATGAAATGACATCCTGGGGAAGGACTGCTCACCAAGAAATTGGTGACACCACATTTTGTGGCACAAAGAGTGTGGTCATCTCAGCCGGGCGTTGGTGGCGCAAGCCTTTAATCCCAGCACTCTGGAGGCAGAGGCAGGTGGATCTCTGTGAGTTTGAGGCGAGCTTGGTCTGCAGAGCGAGTTCCAGGACAGCCTCCAAAGCCACAGAGAAACCCTGTCTCAAAAACCAAAAAACCAAAAAAAAAAAAAAAAAAAAAGAGTGTGGTCATCTCATAGCTCCTCAGAGATTCACAGCATCAGGACCATGGAAGCCCCGTGAATCCACAGGGCCTCTTAGTGTATAATGTTATGTAAAGATGCTCTGTTTAGGGGCCGTGGAGATCGTTCAGTCATTAGGAGCTCTGGCTGCTCTTCCACAGAACCTACATTGAGCTGCCATCACCCACATGGCGGCTCACAGCTTTCAGGGAATCTGGCACCCTCACACAGACATACATTCAGGCAAAACACCAATGCACATAAAAATAAATAATTCTTTTTTAAAAGGTGCTCTGTTTAAAAGTTCAGTTGTAAATCTATCATTTCTCACCAGACCATGGTGGGGCATACCTTTAATCCCAGCACTAGGGAGGCAGAGACAGGTGGACCTCTGTGATTTCAAGGCCAGCCTAGTCTACAAGAGCTAGTTCCAGGCTAGCTAGGGCTACACAGAGAAACCCTGTCTCAAAAATAAAATAAAATAAAAGTAAAAATAAGAGACAAGACAGCATATTGATAAGTTATTATTATTATTGCTGTTGTTGCTGCTATTTTCTCTCTCATAAGGGTCATTCTGTAAGGACAAAATGAAGTTCAAGGTCACCTGTCCTAGACTCTCACTTGTAGATAATTAATGTGAAGATAATTAAGTATTTCAGATATTTCAAGTTGTATCAACATTTTCTAAAATTTCTAAAAAGCAAAAACAAAAAAACAAACATACAAACAAACAAAAACTTAGTTGGCCAAAGCTGGCCAAAGGCTCAGCCAGTAAAAGCACTTGCTTTGCAGGCCTGGTGACCTGAGTTCAATCCTCACAACTGACTTAAAGGTAGGCAGAGAGAACCAACTCTACACATGTGCGCCATGGTGTGTGTGCCCACTCTTACACTATGTATACACACAGGCACAGACACATACCAACATCAATAATAAGATACAATCTGAGTCCAAAAGATCAAGTTGTAAAAATAACATTCGATTGATAAATATTCCAAAAATATATCAAATTGTTAAACAAGAGCATGAGCACATCAAGTACATCAAAACACGAATTCAGTTATATACTGGTATTTTTGTTGTTTTTTTAAATATTTTATTTACTTATTGTGTATACAGCCTTCTGCCTGCAAGCCAGCAGAGGGTACCAGATCTCATTTAAGGTGGTTGTGAGGCACAATGTGGTTGCCGGGAATTGAACTCAGGACCTCTGGAAGAACAGTCAGTGCTCTTAACCGCTGAGCCATCTCTCCAGCTCATATACTGGTATTTTTTGATCTATACAGACTTAGATATTTAGGTTCATTACTAAAGAAATGATCAAAAAAAATGCTGACAAATAGTTACTTTATCTAAATTTTAAGAGGACTCCAAAGACAATTGAAAATTCAAATAGTTCAATGTTTTTATTATAAAACGTAAATATCCATATTTACTAATGAGAAATGGTTTTGCCTTCTTTTCTTCCTTCCTTCCTTCCTTCCTTCCTTTCTTTCTTCCTTTCTTTCTCTCTTTCTCTCTCTCTTTTTTAAGACAAGGCCTTGCTATCTAGCTCTGGTTATCCTTGTATTCATAGCAGTCTCCCCCCCCCCCCATGGGCTGGGTTTCCAGGTGTGTGCCAACATTCCCAGCTTTCCTTCTTCATTTATCTACCTTAGGATATAAAGTACTTTTTTTGTTTGTTTGTTTTGTTTTTCGAGACAGGGTTTCTCTGTATTGTTTTGGAGACTGTCCTGAACTAGCTCTGTAGACCAGGCTGGCCTCGAACTCACAGAGATCCGCCTGCCTCTGCCTCCCAAGTGCTGGGATTAAAGGCGTGCGCCACCAACGCCCGGCTAAAGTACTATTTTGTAGTATGTTTGGTAACTCACCCCTGGAATTAAGAGGATCAGGAGTTCAAGGTCATCCTCGATTATATAGCAAGTTGGCTGCCACCTGGGTTCTGTTAAATGCTATCTTCAAAAAAAAAACAAAAGAAAATGGAGTGGAGCCTAGGGAATATGCTCAAAATGCAACATAAGAATTTTTCTAACTTAAAAAAGGAGAAAAACCTATGAATGAGAGTGTGTTGAGTAAGTGAATTTCAACACAGTATATTTTCTTTTTTTGTTTTTGTTTTTGTTTTGCCAAAACCAGGTTTCTCTATGTAGTCCTGGCTATCCTGGAACTCGATTTGAACTCAGAGATCCACGTGCCTCTGCCTCCCAAGTGCTGGGATTAAAGTTATGTACTACCACTGCCAGGCAACATAGTATACTTTCATTCAAATTACTAATTAAATATATTAATTTACCAACTATACTTTTATATACTCATTAGACCTTTTCAAAAATATTTTTATTTCTGAATAAAATAAAATGTTAAAATTATGATTAGTGAGTTTATTAATTAATGTGTTTAATTACAACTTTGACTCCTTTGGACTTCTGTGTTTTTAGTCATACTTTTCTCCCGACATATTCAGAAAGAGGAAGAAGGTTCAGATTTCAAATTAAGTCCAACTAAACCTGGAATGCACTGGAAAAAGAATAAAAGACAGAGACACAATGACACTATTAGAACTCTGTGTGACTGGGACGTCAAACAGCTGACCACTGAGCAGGACAATCCAGCTATACCTTCTGCTTTGCTATTTTTAATTTGTTTTGAATTGCTTGCAGGCAAATGGAGGAGATTCAATTCTGCAGCCAGGGGTTGTCAGCACTCCTGTTCTACCTGACTGGGTAAGTCAGGTAGAGGGCAATGACCAATCTGGGCAACCCATTTCTACATCCTATGCAAATTAATGCAGCAGTCTCTGAAGGAGTGTGCAGGAAGGTCAAAAACATGAAACCCTGAACAGGGGATACCAGTTGGTGACTTCGATGTCACTCCATTATGTCAGTTCACACAGCTTTTAATGGTGTCTTCTCGGGAAAGTGTCTGCTTTGCACAACAGCAATGACCTTTCATGCAAATTCTTCCAAGTAACTATTTTCATCGCTAGTATACCTGAGGTCAGTAAAAGTGTTCTAAATATAGAATAAGACTTCACAGAAACATTTGTGCATGCTTATATTGTATTTAAATTAATATAGTTAACATTTTACTTCCTAAATGTTCACATCTGAGTGTTACATACCCATATTAACATATTTAGCCAATACAGATATAAAAATGATTTTTGCTTAGGCTGTGATTTCTTTTACATGGCAAATAGTAACACCATATTCATTCTTACATGCCTAACTACCCCTATCCCAGATTGAATGCTTGTTCTCACAATTCTAAAGGGAAAAAAAAAACTTCAAGTGCAATTTAAAATATACCGTCTTAAAACTAGAATCCTGACCTAACAATTCCTTTGGAAACAGACTGCCATTCCAAAAAAACAAAAACCAAAAAAAGAGTTCACATTAATTTTTAGGCATTGTATTTTAAATGCTCATTGAAAAGCATACCATAATACAATTCTACATACAGATATTAGGAGTCAAATGAGACAAGTTAAGTATCAACCAAATTTTAGTATTACCTATTCATAAATTATGGAGTTTTAGGTGTTGTTCAAAGATTTCATATTGTTAGGAGGAAACACCATTTCTTTCTGTTGGGTGTTACTTTTCTGCTCAGATAGTAACCACATATTCACTCTCTTTATAGCTGAATCCAGTTCTCTTTGGTAAAGAAGTGCCTTGGTTGCCATTAGCAAATCACATCTCAGAATAACACATCATTTGAACAGGGCTGGAGGGCATTCCCTACCGTTGTGATAAAATAATCTAATGCGCTAAGGGTGGAGGCCCTGGCTATGGCAGCAAGTGAAGAGAAAAGGCCTACATACCAAATCTCAGTGGGTGAGTACTTCCCCACAGACGCCCCCACCACCACCTTGTTTTTAGAGACAAGGTCTTACTAAGAGCTCCAGCCAGACTGACCTCGAACTCACAAGGATTCCCCTGCCTCTGCCGCTGGAGTGCTGGAATTAAAGGCATGGGCTGCTATGTATGCCCCCTTTTAAAATTATTAACGTATAGATAGAAAACAGGACTTATTCAAAAGCCAGACAAGTTCACAAACCCTTCTTGCGGTGCTGGAGCACTGAGCAAACTGTGAGCACAGTTAAAGGCGAGCATGAACACTTTTCCTACAACTACATGGCAGCAATTGTTAGGAATGGCTGTGTTGAAAGTTGTGGTCCCTTCGCTCCTGTGGGTGAGAAGCCAACGTTTGCAGCCATCCCTGGCAAAGGACCTCAGGGAATTCCGGTCAGGGATACAATCCCATCCCAGCACCCTGAGTGGCTTCTAACGGTATAGCTCTGCAGTGGGTCATGTGACAGCTGGGTGTGTGCCTCTGTGCTGCGCAGAGGGGTCAGCTTGCGGGTGTGTGGGTGTGAGTATGTACTGACAGAAGTTACACGCCTGGTTAGGGAAGGCGCGCGCCTCTGTGGGGTGTGTGTGTGTGTGTGTGTGTGTGTGTGTGTGTGTGTGTGTGTGTGTGTTTGAGTGTGTGTGTGCATTGCAAAGTGGACTATGAAAAAGAGGTTTCGAGAATACGCCTGGGCCAGGCGAGGAGTCCAGGCGCGCCTGTGTGGATCCCCTGAGGGACGAGCCCCTGCCCTGAGGTCGAGGTCCCGATCCTTGGGGGAGGCGAGGACGTGGGGGACTGCGACCCCTCACATCCAGCACCCACCTGACGGATCCGCGGTGGGTTCGGCGGGGTGCAGGCCCCGCCCTCCGGGCCGGGGGAGGTGGGAGAAGCCATGTCCACGCTCCCGGGACTCTTCCTCGGTCAAGCCCGGACGTCCCTCGTGTCTTCGGCTCCTCGGCTCCGGGCCTGGTGCGTTCGGGCTCACCCGGGGACCCGCGTGGTCCTGGGCGGCCGCGGCGGAAGGCCGCCTGTGACCGCGATGGTCCGTGGGGGACAGAGGATCGCGCCCACCTACCTCCGCTCGGGGAGCGGCGGGGCCATGGCGCGCCGGGTGGGCTGCTGGCTGGGCGGGTGACACGCGCTAAGCGGCTGCTGCTGGAGGCGCCGGGTGAAAGAGGAGGGCTCCTTCTCTCGCTGCGCGCCAGGAGAGCGATGAGCTCATGGACAGCTCCCAGAAATATGTCTATATGCACCACTGCCTGCCGGAGCTCGCGAGGTGGGTGGGGATAAGAAGCTCGGCGGCGCTCCCGCAGCCCGGGAGACGTCCCCCGGGAGGCTCGGTGCGGCTCCTCCCTGGCCCGCGCGGGCCCGCTCAGCTCCCATTCACTCTCGGCTCCCGCTACACGCCGGATCGCCAGGCCGCGTGGGCGAGCCACCCACCCACCTCTAGCGCACGCATTCTTTGTCCTTCCAACCACTCCCTCTTGATGAGGAAGAATTCGTTTATATGGAGTGACCAGAATGGAGAATGACACTGTGACCTGAGCTCCTGTCAAATGTGGACTGAGGAGGGTGAAATGTCACAAGTCAAATATCTTTCAGGCTTTGGGCGTTTCCTCTTTTCCACCTTTTTCCCTATGAGAAATAGCCTGCCAGCTATCCTTCGGGGTGGTGACTTGGCTGCATCTTGCTTAAGGCACCCTGAGCACTTTCACCGGGAAGAGCTTGGAGAAGAGACGACCAGGTTTCGCAGACCTGTGCAAGAGCTTGGGGCACAAGTCATGCATGCTGCAGGAGGGCTGGCCTAGTTAACGTTGCCGATTTCCCTGGAGTAGAGCTGGAGATATCACTAGTAGGGAAAATCGCCATCCAAGACCAGATCGTTTCCCTTTAGTGACTCAGCTGTCCCGCTAAGGTGGGAATTTTGCTTGTTTTTTAATGCCACCGAGGGCTAGGATGTAGCTCAGATTATCCACTTGTCTGATACGAACGAAGCCCTGGGTGCCACCCGCCAGCAGTGCAGGTTTGCCGTTCTAGCACTTGGGAGGTAGAGGCAGAAGAATCAGAAGTTCAAGGTCATCCTTGACTGTACAGTAAGTCCGAGGCCAGCTTGTGGTACAAGAGACCATTTATAAATACTTAAGTCTATCCAGGTGGCCTTCATGAGACTAATATTCCCCTTTCCTGCCATTAACTCCCCTTTTCCTATGAATCTCCACTTAAATATATCTTCACCATTCACAAAACAGAGCCAAGCTATGTCGCCCATGCCTATAGTGACAGCATTGGCAGGCTAAACCAAGACGGTCCTTGAGCACAGGTGGAGCGGGGAGCCCGGTTAACACAGGCAGACAGAAATGGTCCTGCACCAGACAGACAAGTCTTGAGAAATCTCATTAATGGTTGATTATTCTTGTGTCCCAAATTTGATCCTCGGTAGATCTTTTTGATTTTACATTTCAGTCACGTCTGTATTTTCTCTACTCCTCTAGTTCAAGCCACCACCATGTCTCAACATTCTAATACCTGACTGCATGTTCCTACCCTTGTTCTCACAGCTTGAAATAGGTCTAGAAAAACAAATTCACTCCAGGAAATGACAGCCTATCCTCTCCCTACCATATTACATCCCGCCTGCACACCTTCCTCCTGCTAACAGATTTTGTTTTTCTTTGTTTATTCATTCTGGTTCTTCCAACATTGGAGGTAGAGTTTATGAGAACAAGGTTTTGTTTAACATTTCAAACCCAGTACCTTGAATATCACGTTCAATAGTCATTGAATATCCAAGAATCTTTGCTAAAGTTATTTAAAAGGTTGGAGAGCCATGATTTGAATTCTAGGTCAGAACTTAAAAGCTAAAACTCTTTTTACATGCTACATGCTACTTACATTAGAAATTATGCATATCTGGGGCTGGGGTCATAGCTCATTGATAGAGTGCTTGCCCAGAGTGTGTACAACCCAGGATTTGATTAAGAACTACACTCATTTAAAATAACACAATCATAATTAAGAGTAAGGTATATTCATATTCAAACACAAAAAACTTCATGGTGCTACATCATAAAAACTGGTTTTAATCCCCAAAAGTCATCTTCTAACTCACCCAACAGGACTGATTGTGTGTGTGTGTGTGTGTGTGTGTGTGTGTGTGTGTGTGTGTGCGTGTGTGTGTGTGTGTGCGTGTGCGTGCGTTTTGGAAGAGGATCACCTGTAGCCTAGGCTGGCCTCTGTTTCATCATGTAGCTGAGGATAGCCTTGCACTTTTGGCCCTCCTGCCTCTACTTTCCAAGTGCTGTGATTGGAGACACACACCACCCACTCCTATTCATGTGGTACTGGAGATCGAACCCAGGGTTTCCTGATGTTAGGCAAGCATTGTACCAACAGAGCTATACTCCCAGCCCCAGTGTAACTACCTGCAAGGCAGCAGTGGTACGTGGTTAGTATCAAGAACCAAAGTCAGTCCCTAACTCTGAGACTCTGATACTCACAGCTCTATTGTTTTTCCTTATTTGCAAAAGAGAAATAACAATAGTACTTATTTTATACAGAGTTGCTATGACTACTAATAAGTGAAATGTGTACATAAACACTATCAGCATACTGCGTTAAAAACTCAATAAAGGAGATACTGATGTTTATGGAATGGCATCCACCTGGAAATAATAGACCAGGGATAAAGGTGTGCTTAAAAATATAAGCCATTTATTCCCCGAGAAAATTAAGGGAAACAATGAGGCAAGCTCTGAGAGTTTTGCTATGGCCCAGATGCTGTGTTCTATGATTGGACCCGCAGAAGCCCCAAATCAGCATCTTCCATTTGAAGCAATTTGTATGCGTTATCCAATTCAACAACAACGTCAATAAATGGCATTTAAAATGTTAATGGATACAACACTAGGGCTGTAGCTCTAATTCATCCTTGCTTGTAACTGCTTACACCTACTTCTCCATTAGAAAACTCAAATACTTATTCAGGTTTGGTGACATACACGTATAATGCCACCCTCCCAGACACACACATTCAGGAAGTGGAGGAAAATTACAAGTGCAAGTTCATCTGCAATATTGGGTTTGATGTCAGTCTGGGCTACATAAAACTCTATCTCAAGAAAAATAAACAAAAAGTAAAACCTACACAAGCAGTGTCATGCCAGTGGTCTTGGCCTCCATCCTAGACAGCTAGCCATTATCCTCTTCCATGGGAATACCCTAGAGTTATTGACAACTGCATCCTTTCTCTGACCTCAGCATCAAGCATTCCATTCTCTGACCACTATTTAATAGCTTTCCAACTGACATCATCTATTACTCTATCGCCAAGAATTCTTCTTTGGGGTAGTGTGAAAGGTTAAATGTGGAATGGTGCTATGTAGCTCTAGCTGTCCTGGAACTCACTCTGTAGTCCAGGTTGGCCTTGAACTTGAAGAGATTTGCCTGACTCTGCTTTCAAGTGCTGGGATTAAAGGGGAGTGCAACAATGGCGCGGCTTCACCAAGAATTCTTTAGTCTTATTGAACTCTCCACTCAGTCCTACTTCCTTCAAGTTATCCTTTCTTCCTTACATGCCCCCCCTTTCTTCCTAATTCACTGTGACTCCACTTACTAGTGTTATACTGTTATAGCCATAACTGTGCATAAACTTCAATTTGCCCTGCCAGTCTATGTCATAATCACGGGGCTGGAAAGATGGCTCAGTGGTTATTAATATGTGTTTCTCTTGTAGAGGATCCAAATTCAGTTCCCAGAACGCATATCAGTTGGCTCACATCTTAATTAAATTGAACTTTCTATCTACTCTAAGCCTGCAACCATTCCCTGTGTACTTGGAGAAAAATGAATAGATCTCTGTTATTGGTGGTCATTCATTTCAATCAGACCCTAGGCAGAGTGTAGTAATCCTGCCATGCTTACCAATCAACTTATTCTCCCACACAATCATTAGCAAGTTCCCTATCCTTGAACTTCAGCTTTTTTATTCTCAACTTCTGACCTTCCTATTTCACCGAGCAGACAAGCAACTAAAACACAGCTCCATCATCATTTGTATCAGTCTTTTGAATGTCATCTTTTATCCCCTTACTATGATGAATTAGTCATGTTGTCATGTAATATTAAGCCTTCCACTTGGGCATTTGAGAGTACGTGATCTCTTCCTTTAAACATACTTGTTGACATCGTTCTTGCAGGCCTCCCTTCCTCTCTCTCTCCCCCACTCCACTCCTCCTTGCCCTCCCCCCACATACTTTCCCTCCTTACTCATTCATTCCCCACACCCTGTATATGCCCATGCTTCTGCACCATCAGAAAACCTCCTCTGAATCACTGTCTGCATGGTGCTCGCCACCTCTAATCCGTCTCCACTGAGTGCTCTTGAAACCAACCTATTAGGGCTGATCTAGTCAAGGTTGCCTGTTGCCTACTTGTTATCCTGTGCTTGGGTGGATTTGGTGAGCTCCTTCTAGCCACCCGACTTCCAGGACTCTTTCCTGCCTTGGTGCTTCTGTAATGGAATAAAGGGGGACAATGAAAGAGCCCAATAGCCCAGCATTCTCCCTCTCTACTTCCCAGCTGCCATGACATTAGCTGCTCTCCTCTGTCATGCTCTGCCTCCCCTCCTATTGGGAATATACAGAATCCTCAAAAACTGTAAGCCACATATTTGCTGTCTTGGAAATTTGTCTCAGCGTTGAGAGCTTTAATCCAAGCGTTCAGCTACTCTCAGTATACTGTGAGTTCTTGATGTTGGCCTTCCTATCCTAGAACATCTTGCATAATTTATCAATAGTATCTTGCATGAAATAAATAAGTAAACAAACTCCCATTTAAAAAGCTTCAGCGTCTTCTTCGAGTTGCCTCCTTTTGCTTTGAAACAAAAGCCCTTCTCAGTACTGACATGCTCTGGTGTTAAGGGGAGCAGGGAATATGTTGATAATAGCTCTAAAGGAAGGACAGAAAGAAAAAGATTGTTTCACAATAAAAAATACGTAAATCATCTTCATATTAGCATTTACCCTAGGACCAGAGATGCAGCGCGGCTGACAGAGCATGTGTCTGCTTATAGCTTGCTTTGTCCTCTTTGGCCGTACACCAACTTTCCCCTTGTTCTATTGCTTTATTTTTCTATTCTACTTACTCATTAATTCATTTTTATAATTTCATTTTATTACATTGCGTGTGCGCATGTGTGCATTGTGTGTGTGTGTGTGTGTGTGTGTGTGTGTGCACATGCACATGCTACAATCATGCCACAGAGAATATATGGAGATCCTGAGACAGTTAGGTTAAGTTCTCTCCTTCCATCATGTGGATCTCTGGGAC